CACATTGGTTTTATTGGTTAGGGTTAGGGTTAGGGTTAGGATTAGGGTTAGGGTTAGGGTTAGGGTTAGAATTAGGGTTAGGGTTAGGTGTAGGCACATTGGTTTTATTGGTTAGGGTTAGGGTTAGGATTAGGGTTAGGGTTAGGGTTAGGGTTAGGGTTAGGGTTAGGATTAGGATTAGGGTTAGGGTTAGGGTTAGGGTTAGAATTAGGGTTAGGTGTAGGCACATTGGTTTTATTGGGACCCATGTTCTCTATCCTTGGGCCCAAATTTGTAATTAATAGAAAATAAAATTAGCCGAATATATCACTATACGAATGCGAAATATAAAATTTATACACATACATTTTGTCAACAGCCTTTGTGTTTATAATATACGATTTAGATAATACATACACGACGCACAACGTTAGCTGTAATCAATCTATTTTAACGTTATGTAACTGTTAGTTACTGAACGCCGCCATTTTTCCATCGACATGTGTCGCCGTCTATAATTACTCTACCAATCGAAAATGCTTTTAAATGCAAATACCAACAAAAATAAATATAGATAATGCATTGTCTATGTTAATTATTTTTAATTTTATGCGTAAGGAATTTATTTAATATTATATAATAGTTTTGCTAAAAGAGTGACCATGAAAACAACAAAGAATATTCACAAATGATTAATCACTGCGCATCACCTACTAGAGGGAAAATAAACAGTTTTTCTTGACCTAGGTTTTACCCTAAATTATGATGTTTAGATCTGTGATTATGATGTTCAGTTAACTAATTAATGCTTGTATGTAGAAATTGCTATCATATTATTGCCATCTAATTTAATTACATAGATTTAACCACATGCGCTGCTGAGGAAATTGACATTTGTCATAATTGACAATTGACAATTTGTCATAATTGTAGCCTAGCCCTACTCCTAGCCTAGGCTAGAGACTGAGTAGAGAACTGGAGTGGAGAATTGATCAGCTGACCTGACACTGACAATTAGAGTGCACTGTACTGAGATGTGTAAACATCACCAGAATCAGCCATTTAGGTGGATATATTTATTCTACGTTATACTTCTAAGTTCTTATTTATAACTGTGTTAGTGTAGTGAGAAGTAGCAATGCAGAGGGTGTATTGTAGTTTTAGAGCTTAGTTAGTGAGGCTGATACTGATAGGGTTTATGTCCCCCAGGGTATTATCGGAGGTAAACCGGCGTAGTACCGTCTCGCCAACGTAGTGTTAAGCGAGAAGGGAACTTGTGGCTATATCGGAGGTAGCTAGCCTATAGTACTATAGCCCGCATACAGTTGCCGCAGGCCTGTGCAAGTGCCTGCGGCAACTGTACGTGGGCTATAGTACTAGAGCTATATCGGAGGGTACCCTGGGTACGGTTTGATATATCGGAAAGTACCTCGGGGTACTATAGTACTATACCATACGATATGTCGCTGCGTACCCTGCATTGTCCCACCGTACCTTGACTTTATATGGACGTATTTCCGATGTTGTAAAACTAAAATACAAAAGCTAGCTCTTCGTTTAAAAAAAGGGAAAAAGAAAAATATAGTCAAACATAGCATACGTTTTTGTTGGATTGCAATGTTTTGAAGTTTCTTTAGCCCGACCAGGCTGTGCGACGGATTGTCTATACAATCCGTCGGGGATAGGGTATTTTAACCCTAGCAATACCGTTTCTTGGAGCTAAGGTTTCTTCTATGTGATGTGGTAACTTGACAGAGTGTATGTATTACGACATCAGTTGGCTGAAAGTCAGGGTACGGTGGGACAATGCAGGGTACGCAGCGACATATCTTATAGTACCCCGAGGTACTTTCCGATATATCGAACCGTACCCAGGGTACCCTCCGATAGTACCCTGGGGGACATAGACCCTATGAGCGTTAGTGAGCAATGTAATTGTATCTTTTGACTTGTCAACTGGACTGTCACTTCTCAGCTCACTGCCATTCTATTTGTTAATATTAGGACTATTAAACGCACGCACAGACGCACGCACACGTAAATGCTCCAGCCCCTCTTTAATATGCTTATTGCATGTACTACATCGATCGTCTCTAATATTATTTCTGCAGTAACTTTTTAGTTCAATCGTGCAAGTTTTAAATTTCTATGCAATAATATGTATGTGACGTGTAAGGTGTTGGTCTACGTCACCTGTTGTAGGTTGACTGTATCAAATTAACTACTATCCATGACTGATCTACTCGTCTTGTAAGCTAAGAAACATGGCATCGCAAGCGAGTAGTGCACCCACAACGCGATCTAACAAGCTAATTGAGGAGATCATAGGTAAAACATGACAACAACAGAGGTGTTTGTTATTAAAATAGAAACATAACTTGTATAATGACTATTGATAATGACTATTTTATAGAAAATAATAATATTAATATAACTATACTATATATGGATATGTTTGTGATACTAATAATACTATTTTTGTTAAAATCAGATGCTGTTAGCACACTGAAAAGTGAGTTTGAGGAGAGTAGATTGCCAGTAACAGATGATGACTCCACTTTGCACAAACTGGAATTCAAACTTGAATACTTGCTGCAGCTGAATAGGAAACGTAGGTTTTTAGCAAGTGTGCGTTACTTTTATTGGTATAAAATATATTTATTATTAGCAGTAAATAATTTCCAGGATATAGTGTACATAGTTAGTATATCTGATATGTATTATGTTACATAGAGTGTAATAACATGTTGCAGTACGTAGTTATTGTGTTAATGTGTAGTAACATATGATTTACAGATGTTACATAAATTAGTTAGAGACGAGGAGTGCGGCTAGACTCAGGGTTGTTTTGGTGGTAGTCTATGTAGACAGAGCGTCGCGCATCTTGTGCGGCTAGATTGATGTTATAGGGAGAATGGTAAACGTGTTTTAGGTCGGGCGTTTCTAGGGTCATTGTGAAATGGAGGTAGGACGCAGTCTGGGAGAACGGGTGACATGTGCGCTCAGGATGTAGGGGTTTTGGGGGTAATATATATGACAGAGATGTAGGAGGTGGAGTCTGGTTGTGGTCGCGAGAGGAAGCACACGCGCTTAGGCGCGTGTGCGCGTTTCTCTGTGCAAGATGTGAATACACTGTGTGCCAGTTATTAAAGTTTATTCAGTTTAATACACAAGTTTGGATTTCTACTTCATCATTTCTACATGAACCCATAATTCAACGTTACAGTGTAGCTTTCTCTATTATATTAGTTAGATCATATCTCATATATATTTGTATTTGTATTTTCCCTATGCAGAAAAGTTTACATTTTTGGGTACGCAAAGGGACTATTTTGATTACTTCTGCGAGTGTTTGGCAAAAGGGAAAAGGAACAGAGATGGCCTGAAGTTTGTAAAGACATTGACAGAAGTAAGCAGAAGTTAAGATTTTTTTAACTAAGTGTAGACAAGAGGTACTCACACTGTGTAGAGTTCAACACTGTTAACTTATTGCTAATAAGCTAATATGTACATGGCTATTAATTCTGAGTTATACAGCAATATTCCAATGAAATTCCTTGGTTAGGTTCTATATTTGTGTAATCACCAAATATAGCAAAATATAATCACCCAAAATCAAATCCATTACCAAACTAAACATGTCATTATACTGTTCAACATAAATCTGTAATCCTTAATCACAAATGATATTATTGTAACTTATGTAACAATTGTTGGTTGTTTGCCACTTGCTCTATATTTTAGGTAAAAACGTCTGTAGGCAGAGGTCGAGCCTTCATTCGCTACAACCTTATGCACCAGATGCTAGCCGATACACTTCAGCTGTGCTTTAGTAATGGTCGTGTTACCATCAACTGGTATTTTCCTTCATCTGCTTTCCTGCGACATCGAATGACAGCGTCCCTTCTGACAGCCCTCTATGACCTCAACGAAGTGTCATTTGACCTTGCACCGACAGGTTATGACCTTGATGCGGGCTGGCCCACATTTGCACGGTATGATTAGCAAAGGTTATTCAGTTTTGAATAGCGTTCATGCTTTTCCTGAGGAAACCAACATGGGTGTCCACGAGTTAAGCACTCATTAAGCAGATACACAATGCTTTTAAAAGTTGAGAAAACATGGCAATAAATTCTGAAGCACTGATTTCAATGCTGAATGCACAGAGCCAAGCTAGTAATACAAGTGTAGATTGGTTCATCTAGAATCTGTTCATTTAGTGTTTATTGTTGTTGATATCTATTTGCAGCAAATCGTTTGGTACTCCGTACAGCTGGAATGTCCCTCTTTGCCGTAGTCGCAGCACAAGCCAAAGTAGCATCAGCAGTTTCCATTCACAGGTTGTTCTGACGTTTGAAGTACATTTTGTATGACCACTAACATTGTGTGGGCCATTGATGAAGTCTAATGCACACTTATATCAGTAATGATACATTGAATGTGTGGATATCAGCAATGAGTAATGAGATGATATACCTCAATATAAAATAAGACTATGCCTATTGTCAGTGTGTCTTGCACAGTGCCCATATCCTGACTATGATATCAACTATTAATTTCATAGAATGCAGTAATGAATGAGTGTGTAGTAAGAATGATGAGGCCATGTGTGATTTCAGTTGATTCAGAACCAACCACTGGGGTGAAAAGTTCACACTGACTCTGACTGAATCTAATATCGGGGTGGTACTCACTTTTCGTAGATGAGTGAGCAGCACATTTCCTCCCCGGGCCGACCAGATCTGTCTAGCATGGAACGAGTTCACATGGAGCTGGCCAAGGCCGAGTCTGTGAAAGGTGTGCTGATGTCTCGCATCGAAATTCTGGACAGAGAATGCGAAACTGTCCACAAGATGGCAGTAGAAGCAGAAGAGAAACTTGAAGACACTAAGAACAGCCTTCAGACGCAATTGATGGAAAGCCAGATTAGGTACTGCCATAGCAATCACTATGTGTAACACACTACTCGAATGTTAACAACAACGACAAACAAAACAATCAGTGGTATGTAATTACGTAGGTATGTGCGAAATGTCTACATATTTTAAATAAGTTAATGTGCGTTTGTTGAAGATGTGAGAAGATGAACAACGAGTTGGAGCTGCGATGCCAGCACTGGGAGGAGAAAGAGCATAGCCTCGTGTCCCGATTGAAGCAGCTTCAGAGAGGTACGCGATACCGAATTACATAGCCATGTTAACTTCTTAGCCGCACGAATTTCCTTCACTTTTGCCCATTCTCCTCTTCATCCTTCGTCTCTCCCTCTCACTCACACGTAATTCATTTTTCTAAAGTTGCCACATGTGGAAATTGTCGCGCGTAATGTGTGTGGAGTTAGGATCTTGCTAATTTCCATTTTCTTGGACAGAGAACGAAACACAACAAGACCAGCTAATGTCGCTACAGCAAAGTGGCAGTGGAAAGCAAGGGGAACTTGAGGAGAAGTGCAGACCTCTTGAAGTGAGTGAGATATTCTAGTTTACGAGATCATGCAACGATAAATCATATGATCATAATGTGCTCTATCGGCTCGTTACCAATACTGAAAGTGAAATCATCCTCACAATCAACCTCGCTTAGTCGAACAGCGAAGGTTAAAGTGATCGCATTGTTGTCACACGTGCGCTGTGTTTCATCGTCTGCGTAGCTTACGATTGTGGAACTCGGAGTGAGTGGGAAGCTGTCGGAGGAGAAGGTCGCGTGGCACGCAGAGCGAGAGATCGAGAAACAGAGCGGCGTCGCTGAGCAGCTGCAGATCCGACTGAAGGAATCCGAGGAGAAGAACAAGGAGCTGCTGTTGCGCATGGAGGAGCTTGTGTCGGACAAGTGGAGTGCTGCGTCGCTGCACGCCGACGCGACGGACAAGGTGTGTGAGGGCGCGACAATGTCGTCGCATTCCTGTGCGAATTTTAATCATGTGACCCCCCCGCTGTTTTGTGTTAATTGTGATTGTACGAGCAGGGGTAGAAATTAACTTTTGAACACGGGAGTCCAACGAACTCCATACCCTCAAAAAGAGTGAGTCCGCAGCAAAATGAGGGAGTCCGCAGTCTGAGGTTCAAAATTAAAGATATTAACAATAACGCATGCGATTATTTTTAAGATTCATGCAGTTGCACGTCTGCCAAATTTTCCTTGGACATTATTCTAAAAATACGGTAATTCCGCGAGGCCGTGCTCTTGAACGAACTAGTTAGTATGGCAGAATTTTCAGGGAGTCACACGGACTCTTGCATATGTCAAATCAGAGAGTCCGACAGTAACTCGGGGAGTATTTGACTCCGGACTCTCGTTAATTTTGCACCCTGACGAGTAATTGTAATTGTAAATGCAATTGTGATCGTACCTACACCAATTCAAGGACGTGAATTTCTCGCATGTGGCATAATCGCGTAACGCTTCCCGGTGTGCTGATTGTGGATTGTGCGACACCTTGCTACGTATTGCTGTTACATGTGGCTGTGAATACACATTTCAGGCGCACGAACTACTCACAGAACTCACTGTAGCCGAGCGGTCAAACATCCAACTCCAGTGTCAGAACTTGGAGCTGCAGAGAAGCAGTGTGCAACACCAGGGGGCACCTGAGATCGACGCCGCTACTCCCTCGCACACGGCAGAATCCCGTCCGGCATCCTCCGCCGATTCGTCGGCGCAGACGGAGACTGATGGTGACAGTGCTGCCCTCGCGAGGGAGAACCGGTCACTGCAGGCGGCGCTGGAAGCGCTGCGGGCGCAGCGCGAGGCAGAGGCGCGCGATTCGTCGACGACTCTCGACGCTGCCCGACAAGAGAGCGATGCCCTGCGCACGCAGATCGACGAGCTCGCTCGCCAGGGGGCGCTGGAAATTGATGCAGCAAAGATGGCGGCCGGCGACGAGGCAGAGGCGCGGCGGGTCGCTGAGGAGCGGCTTGAGGAGGAGCTGGTGGCGGTGCGACACCAGATCGCGCGGCTGAGGGACAGCGAGGCGCGGGCGGCGGAGGAACGGCGGGCTGCCACCGGCGAGCTGTTGCGACTCACCGACAGTGAGCGCCACCTGGAGGAGGAGAAGGCAAGCATGCAGGCGTTTGTCATTCGCATGATGGGCCTGCTATCTAGCAGCGATGGCGGCGGCTCCGGCACCAACACCGCAGCGTCAGGCAACGGGAGGAGGAGCCTGGTGCAGAAGTGCAAGCATATGGCTGCAGACGTAGAAGCGTTGGTGCGACGCAACGGCGAGCTGTCCCTGCAGGTGTGGCCATGTTTCAGTACATGTTGTGTGTTGTAGGGAGGTGCTGCCATGCTTTAGTACATGTTATGTGTCGTAGCACGCGCATTCCAATTTATTTTCATGTAAGATGCACGTGTGAGTAACGTAAACAAAATGAATGGCAGAAGTGCACATGTCTTAGCATAACATGCTCTGTATAGAGATCATTGTTATCAGATATATCTATATAGAGATCTTTGAATCGATCGTTGATTGTTATCAGGTGCGGGGGCTGGAGCGCGGTGGACATGATTGAGTATAACATGCTCTATATAGAAATCATTGTTATTAGATATATCTATATAGAGATCATTGAATCGATCGTTGATTGTTATCAGATGTGGTGTTTGAATCGATCATTGATTGTTATTAGGTGTGGTGTTTGAGTCGATCATTGATTGTTATTCGGTGTGGTGTTTGAATCGATCGTTGATTGTTATTAGGTGCGGTGTTTGAATCGATCGTTGATTGTTATTAGGTGCGGTGTTTGAATCGATCGTTGATTGTTATTTGGTGTGGTGTTTGAGTCGATCATTGATTGTTATTAGGTGTGGTGTTTGAATCGATCATTGATTGTTATTAGGTGCGGGGGCTGGAGCGCGGTGGACGGGAGCTGCGGGAGGAGCTAGCGCTGCGGCGGGAGCGGCTCACCGAGCGCGAGGCTGAGAACGGAGAACTGGAGACGAAGCTTCGCTCGCTCGTCTGCAACACGACGCTGCCGGAGGATGCTCACAGCATCACGTCGGCGGGCAGCGACGCGAGACTCGATCCACCGCCAGGGGGCGCCGACGAGGTGCTGGAGGTCGCGCAAGCATATGATGTGAAGCGTCAGTGGGACGAGGATTTAGACAAAGGACAGTCGGAAAACGACGTAGTGGATGCGACGATGGAAGGAGCCACAGGTAAGGGAAGAACATCAGGTGAAGAACAAGCTGCAGGTGACGAAGGAACTGTGAGCGATGAAGAAGTGGTGGAAATAGGAGTGGCCATTGAAGGAACGGCAGACGATGAAGGAACGGCTATTGAAGGAGCATCAGATGAACCAGCAGAGCCAGAGGAGGAAGCAACAGTGGACGAAGCAGCGGCAAATGAAGGAGTGGCGTATGAAGGAACGGTAGAAGAAGCAGCGGCCAGCTCCGTTGATCAGGAGGCCGTCGAGGCGTTCATGCGACAAATCGAGATGCTAAAGTCACAGAACCTCTCTCTCTCCGAGGAGAACCAGTCTCTGATTGGTCAGCTTGACTTCCTGTCGGAGTCGGTGGCGTCGAATCTCGAGGAGCGCGATGACATCGAACAACTCCGCGGGGAGATGTCAGAAATCCGCAGCATTCTGAGTCAGGTCAGTGAGGTCAGCGAGCGAGTGTTGGTCGATGTAAACGCCGAGACCGAACAGGAGGAACATTTGAAATGCGTGGACAGCAGAGAAGGAAGCGCTGAGGTGCAAGTCGCCGTTGACGATCAAGCGTCCGTCGCGTCGGCGGAATTCCGTCGCGTCGTACGCGACGTGTCGGAAATGCGATCGTCATTCGAATCACAGAGGGCGCTGCTGTCAGAGTTGCGTCAACAATGCACGACTCAGGATGACGTCATCAAGATGCAGGAGTACGACATCGAGGCTAAGATGAAGCGGATTGAGCTTGTGAGCGAAGAGAAGGAGAGACTGACACAGAAAGTTGCAGAACAGAGCGACGCGATCAAGTCGATGGAGATAAAGTTTACTAAGAAAATACAGGAGACTTCTTCTGCATTCGAGGAGAAGGTTGGTATTCATTTGCTACACTCTCGTTTATTGTAGGTGATATATTTCGTTATAGAATTGTGCATATTAAAGCCGTCACGGACTTTTCTAAAATTTTCAAAGTGAAGCAGTTACTACAGAATTATGCACGTATGATTTACCCACGTTTTATTTTATAATGTTATTAAAACATCGCACAATTATGAGCATGTCAAACAGAAGTAATACCCAATTCCTATAATTTATCATTGATATTTAATTAATGCACAGGTGTGCGAGCTAACACAACAATTTAAAGACAGTCAAGCCAAGGTGACGTGTTTAGAGGAAAGCCTTGAATGTAAAACAGATCAGTTAGAGAAGACGGAATCAGCATATGAACAAGATGTCTCTGCACTCCGGTTCCAGATTAGTGAAGAAAACATGAAGTATCAAGAAACCATTAAGGTATCGATGGATTTTTAAGCATATGTGTAATTGTATCCCCCGCGACGAAGTCGACGGGGATACTATGGTTTCATGTCTCTCCAGCCGCCGCCGCCGCAGACAATTTCCCTTCCGCTCTATAACTCGACCCCTAATTGACCTAGCACTACCAAAACCAGGTCACTGTAACCTTTATTTGACTTTAACCTTGACCTTGACTTTGATCATATTTTCCTTCCGCTCTATAACTCGGCCCCTAATTGACCTAGCACTACCAAAACCAGGTCACTGTAACCTTTATTTGACTTTAACCTTGACCTTGACTTTGATCATATTTTCCTTCCGCTCTATAACTCGGCCCCTAATTGACCTAGCGTGACCAAACTTGGTATACTTACACATCTTGGGGAGAAGGTGAGCAGCGTACCAAAACCAGGTCACTGCGACCTTTATTTGACCTTGATCATATTTCCCTTCCGCTCTCTAATTCGGCCCCTAATTGACCACCTAGCGCTACCAAACTTGGTATACTTACACATCTTGGGGAGAAGGTGAGCAGCGTACCAAAACCAGGTCACTGCGACCTGTATTTGACCTTTACCTTGACCTTGATCATATTTCCTTTCTGCTCTATAACTCGGCCCCTAATTGACCTAGCGCTACCAAAACCAGGTCACTGCGACCTTTATTTGACCTTTACTTTGACCTTGATCATATTTCCCTTCAGCTCTATAACTCGGCCCCTAATTGACCTAGCGCTACCAAACTTGGTATACTTACACATCTTTGGGAGAAGGTGTGTCGCGTACCAAAACCAAGGTCACTACGACCTTTATTTGACCTTTACCTTGACCTTGATCATATTTCCCTTCCGCTCTATAACTCGGCCCCTAATTGACCTAGCGCTACCAAAACCAGGTCACTACGACCTTTATTTGACCTTTACCTTGACCTTGATCATATTTCCCTTCCGCTCTATAACTCGGCCCCTAATTGACCTAGTGCTACCAAACTTGCTATACTTACACATCTTGGGGAGAATGTGTGTCGCGTACTAAAACCAGGTCACTGCGGCTTTTATTTGACCTTGACCTTGACCATATTTCTCTTCCGCTCTATAACTCGGCCCTTAATTGACCTAGCGTGACCAAACTTGGTATACTTACACATCTTGGGGATAAGGTGTGTCGCGTACCGAAACCAGGTCACTGCAACCTTTATTTGACATTGACCTTGACCTTCATCATATTTCCCTTCTGCTCTATAACTCGGCCCCTAATTGACCTAGCGCGACCAAACTTCGTATACTTACACATCTTGGGGAGAACACGGGGGATACATGTAGTTGGCGATAACTGCCCTTTCTAGTTTCTACATGCCATTCATGACGATTTGAGTCCAGAATAGTAATAAAAACGTCTCCTTTTTGTTTAAATTCTGCTTCAAACGGCATTTGTTGGTAGCAATATTTCTCACAACAAACGCCATATCGAGATCTGCTTAATGTTTCAGACTTACGAAGAGAATGACGCCAATGTGACCGATATTCAATCTAAACTTGAAATTCAACAAAACATCATCGAAAGTATGCAGGCAGTAGTTAAGGAAATGAAAGATGAGAGAGATGCGCAGATGGAGAGTCACTGGGATGAGGTGCCTGCTGCCAATTTAGTTTCTATCTGTGAACGTGTTTTATTGTAGTATGCTGGTCATCCAGGCATATAAATTTAACCATTTGATTATTTGGGTGGGCCTTGAGTCGGTTTTAATTATTAATTATTTTTATCATAATATCTTAGGATAATTACTCTGTAAATAATATCTGTTTTTTAAATGTAAAATTAGTTATTACCTGACATTATGTATTTAAATCCCCCAAGTTAGTGTGAAGTGACAGTATTCGTTAGTGTATGTTAATCAGCTTGTGGTGTGTACATCTGCTTGAAGATGGAAGATCTGCGGGTCATCTTAGAGGGCAAGTCAGACGAATGTGAGACGCTACGTGTAGAGGTCACTGATTACAGAGACCAACTGGCAAGTAAAGAGGACCAGCTTGTCAGACTGCAGGTAAAAGACCATAAGTGAAACTTTCAAAGTAATATGGCATTAATGCCTTCAGCATCACTCTTCTTATAAAGTTCTTATGCCATGTAACTGACATCAAGCCTTATTATGTCATTGTAATGATGATATTATAGCCAAGTAACATGCGTAAATTTGATGAAAGTATAGTCACATATTTAAATATAAAAATTCCGGCTTATCCCCGATCACTACTCTGCCCTCTGTAGCAGCCATGCTGTCAAATTACCCTGCTGATGTACATTCTCTGTATTAGGAGGACCTTGAATCTGTACAGCAAAGCCATGAAGCAAAGATAAAGACACTGCAGGAACAGAACTCTCAGCTGAGGGAGGATTCGGAGAAACTACAGAGCACTCTCATAAAAATTCTAAAGTATGCACACACTACCGACCAATTGTGAAGTTGAGACATGTTATGCTTCCACCCCAACCACACCCACCCCACTCTTACCAGCTAGGTCTTCCAACCTAAGAAATTATTTTCCAATGCGCTGCCAAACGTTTATGTAATGGTCACTTAAGGGAAACCCCCAGTTGTGCCTGTTATAGACAGGTTTTCATTCTAGTAAGTAGTTGAACTGTATATCTGCCACTAAACGGATACGCCAAAAATGTCATTTACGGACAGGTGTACGTTTTAAAGAGATACCTGCTAATACAGTTATGACTAAGCTAGAGAAGTTTATTGGGAATTTGCAACCAAGTGGCATGGAATGGATTTAGCAAGCTGTGATGATGTGTGTAGTCTGGAGTGTCATTTAATGAATGTACATTGCTGTGTACACTGCTGTGTACTCAGTACTTGTGTGTAGTGCTGTGTACTGCTGTGTGCTGTGTTTCATGAGTGTACATTGCTGTGTACAGGGATAAGGACACACTCTGGCAGAGCAAAGACCAGCTGGAGTTTGAGCAGCGACAGCGACTGCTTGACTGCTGGGTGGACGACAAGGCTGCATCGCACTGCATGGGCTGCGGGAAGGAGTTCTCTCTCACGCGGCGTCGGGTACGTGACCCCGTGAATGAGGTTTCTACACGTGGTCACACTGATTGGTATTCACCAATCGAACTATCATGGTTAACTTTCATGCTTACGCCCGCAGTCCTTTTCTCTTAGAAGTGTTAAACACTATGAACAATAAATTCCAAAAACAATATCACAATCAACAGTATCAATAGCAATATCAATAAAATTCGAAGTAGAAGTAGCATCGACAGTCATATAACAGATACGTATTCACAAATCCATTTATAACCAAACCTGTACATACACCTGCAAGCATATAGCAAACATCAAAACACATGCTACATGTATACCACATACCACATACCTCAGATGAGCACTTCTGTGGCTCGCACCCTCCATCGAGTAACGCTGTAACTACCGGCGTGACATCAGCAGCTGTGTTACGATGTCGTTACAGCACCACTGCCGCCTGTGTGGCCGCGTCTTCTGCTCCGCCTGCTCCAACCACTGGGTGCTGACTACGGCCAGCAGCAAAAAAACTCGCACCTGCGACCGCTGCTTCATGTCACACTCGCGGTGCGAGGGCACCACCGATACGTCGCTGGTCGGTGACTCGAGCCGGGAGCAAAGTCCCGATAGCCGGCTGGAGGATGAGGCAAGTCGCGCATCGTCAGGCGAAGGTAAGTGTGTGGGTAACGTAAATGCGCATAATTTTACCGCGGTTAATTAACCACCCTTTATAGCTTATGAGCGTGCGTGCGTGCGTGCGTCCGTCAACAGTTGGGCACAAATCTAAACGGCTCGACGTACGGTCACGATATTCGGGACGTGGGGGGTAATCCGAAAACGAATTGGGATGTCGAAGCTGGGGGTCAAAGGTCAAAGGTCAAGAGGTGTAAAAGAAGGGGGAACATTCCCTCCTTAACTTAAGGTTACTTAGGACGAATGCAGAATTGCGGCACAAATCTAAACGGCTCGACCTAGGCTCGTGATAGTCGGTGTATAGCCTCATGGTAGGAAAAGCCATCACTGTGCCGAAATGGAGGTCACAGGTCAAAGGTCAAATGGGCACAGGGCAGTTTAGACTTTTCTGAGGACATGGTCTGACGGAGCGATTGAAAAACTTTGTTGTCTCAGCGGTGACCTAGCATTTTTATGGCTTTATGAAAGGACCATGAAATGTACTCTTCGCTGACAGCGAAGAGTAAGTGTCGGATAACCTTTTGACCCTCAAAGAGGAGGGTTAAAACATGGATTTGTTTACTGTTAGAAAGAATTTGACATGCCAGGTTGCTAGATAGAATCTATACATGCCTGGATGTATGAGGCTACAATGTCACAAAGAAATTTCAAAAGCTAAATTTGGTTGAAGAAGGTTTATGCTCCTTAAATCGTATAATTTCTATGGCATTCGGTGTACTGTCAGTGTGTTACATGTAACTTATGCCAGCCAGCTGCATGTGTGGTGATAGTACGGTGTAGTTTTTGCCTGCGTTAATTAGTTACAGTGGCAGCTCTCTATTTTAGCCTGTAGGCTTGCGTAGGTAAATGTAGATGTGCTTACTATTCTGTCTTGCAAATAGTTGTTGCTATACTACGTACGCATGGGAAGCTTCCATCTTTAATCTTAAGCACTCAAATGTACGCGCCATCTCGATGGCAACTTTCTAACGATCCCACGAACATTTCTTCGAGAGGTTCCTGATACCATCCCAGTGTTCGAAATAAGAGCTATCCGTTTGTCCGTACTTTGTCCATATTCACGGAGGACAAGTAGATCTGTCCGGTAGCTTTTCCGCCGGACAAGCAGCTTTTAGAGCAATTTTTCATAATTTTCTACCACTCTGGCCGCTGCTGGGAAACCGAGTTAACATAGATAATAAACATGGAATGCGAGTGCCACACCGAATTAAATATAGTATAAACATTTATGTGAAGTTATATAAAAAGTCGTTACCGCCGTTGCTAGCTCCACGAAACGGTCTTTGCTAGGTTAGAAGGAACCATCAGACAATCAGTCTGATAGACAATCAGACATCTGTATAGACAATCAGTCGTACAGCCTCGGTCTGGCAGCGCTACTGCCTCGAGAAAGAGAGAAATCGAGAGAGAGAAGAGAGAGAGCGAGGGGAAGAGAGTGAGAGAGAGAGCGAGGGGAAAGAGTGAGAGAGAGAGAGAGAGCGCGCGAGAGAGAGGAAGAGAGGAGAGAGAGAGAGAAGAGAAAGAAAGAGAGAAATCGAGAGAGAGCGAGGGGAAGAGAGTGAGAGAGAGAGAGAGGCGCGAGAGAGCAGAGAGAGGAGAGAGAGAGAGAGAGAGAGAGAGGGAAGAAAGAGAGAGAGAGAGAGGTTCGAGAGAGAGAGAGAAGAGAGAGAGAGGGAAGAAAGAGAGAGAGAGAACGAGCCTGTGTAGAGAGCAGTGACGAGAGCGAGAGTAGAGATGAGAGCTGCATAGATGTGAGAGTGGAGAGAGAAGGAGTGAGTGAGAAGAGCGAGAGGACGGGCGACGAAAGTCGAGAGGAGAGAGGGAAAGACAAAAGACAAAAGAAAGGAGAGGACAGCGGCAGAGGAAGGTGAGTTGTGTAGCTGGCGAACTCGGAGAGAGCGTGAGGGAAGGAGAGCAAGCGAGAGAGAGAGAGAGCCGAGAGCGCGCGCAGGAGATGAGAGAGAGAGAGAGTGTGTGTGTCGATGCGGAGAGAGTTGTGATCGAGCCGAGGAGAGAGAGGGAGCACACAGAGAGGCGCGAAGGGAAGAGAGCAGCAAGAGCCGCATGAGATCACGAAAGAGAAAGAATGAGAGAGACATGCGATGGCGGGAGACGCGAACGCCGGGCGATGTGAAGGGTGTCTTGATTCGGTTTGCCAGTGAGTTTAGCATCAGAACACCTGCCGTCAGGTGAGCGCTGTCGCTCTGCGGCACTTGTTATTTAATCAGGGGCCTTGTTACACATGATTTAACCGCAGTTTAATTATTCTTACCACGGTTAAATTATCTGTAAGAAGGCCTCTGATTGGGTAAAAGGGCCATATTTTTAAAGGCGGTTGAATTATTTCTACTTCAGTAAAAATAATTATTTCTGAGTACGATGGCCAACCATAGTCTAATCTTGTGTCTTGTGTTTGTAGCATCGGAAGTAAGTGAACATGAAGTCTCCATGGGCAGTCCTGTGGGAGCTGGTATTGAAGCATCGGCTCTACTCTCGAGTTCCACGCCTCAGAAACCAGCCGGGTCTTCTCCTCCTGAAGCGTTCGGTGGTTCCGAGTCTCTTCTACACGGTACGGTCACTTCCCCTATTCACATTTCACACAGCGCGAAATCTTACACGGAAGTTTGGATCGTATCAATCGAGTTGAATGTCACGTTCTATTGGCGTTTGCTTCCTGCTGACTATGCTGATTCCAACTATATTCTACCTCTGCTGAATAGATGAAGACAATGTGCAAGGCATGTCTGACACAGGAGCCACACAGACACCAGACCCGACTTCAAGTGACGGCGATTCACAGCTAGTATCAGCTGCAACTACAGCGAGCCATCAGATACCACACAATGAAACTGATGCTGCTGTATCCCAACAAGCTGATACAGAACGGTAAGGGAAGACAATCTCATTACGTATCACACAGTCAGTATTTATTTTGTACACACAGTATCATTTGACCCCAGCCCATAATCTGTTTCTTTTCTTTTGACTACCAATAATTTTGTCATAGCAGTGTTGGTGTGGAGCCTGTGGCGGCCTCTAGTGATAATACACCAGCAAGCAGTGTTGGCAGTGACGAGCAGGAATATGCCGTCATTACTACTGAGGAGGTGGCACAGTCAGTCTATGACCCTTCCTATGGTGATATCGAGACAAGGTGTGTGGTTACGTGTGGTGCGCCAATGATTTTGTGTCTTATCTCCTTTCTTTTCTTACACTATGTATTGTATCGAAATAATATTTGTCAATAACGTTTCACAATAAGTCCATGTTTTGCACCTTCTATGAGAATGAGAGGCTATGACTAGCAGTGCAATTTTATGTCTCACAAATGTTATTCCGAACAACTGCATCGAATCGGGCCTAACATTGATAATCCTAGATGACATCCTAGACTAACAGCACAATTTCTCCCTCACAATTTCTGCTTATCCTTCCCACAGCATCCAATCAAGCTTCACGCTGATGGTCGATGACATCATTGAGGGCCGTGGAAACGAACAGGAGGGAGTGACGGTGAAACCTCGCCAGTGCTTCGCAGTTCCCATTCTCGTGGAAAAGCCAGGCGTCACGCTGAGCTGGGAATTCAGAACCACCGGTCACGTAAGTGAGAGCGGGAAATTTACACAAGAAATAGGGAAGAACGGTTATTTTCGGAATGCAGAATTAGAACATTTTTAGTCATCTGGGAAGTCTACATTTTTAATAATTCAGGAACAGAAGTCAACCGGGACACGGGAAAGTCAAAGCCAAAATTGCAATTTTCATTAACCAGAAACTACAAAATAGCATATTTTTGGTCTGGGAAACTAGCAGTGCCCCCCCCCCATTCCCCACCCACACTGGGTCTACTTTAGCACCCCAGTCTATAATGATGGGATCAGGATTAGGGTAGGGTGATGATAATTTAGGTTTGTAGTCCTGGAGTCAACTTCAATCTGCCACATGGTTGGCACTTCCAGAACGGACTCTTGCAATACAGTAAACACCCGCATAAAAGAACCCGTGATTTAAGAACCTCCAGGCTGAAATTGGACCAATAAAGCACCTATTATATAAGAACCTCTTCAGAACCAATAAAACAGGTTCTTATATAAAAAAATACCGAAAATGAGAGCAACTGGGGCAATCCAATATGTGTGCTACACCATTGGAAACTGCCCTACTATTAGTCAAATCAATTTACACAGCATTTGACCTTTCATTGTGTTTAATATGAATAAGTAAATTTAAGGTGATAATAAATTAACTCAAATGAATTTAAACAGACATATAATTTCTAATATAAGCAGTTGGTTAATTAATTTAGTGTCAATTATTCACTAATTAAAGCCAATCTTTACCTAGATAATGTACACAAT